TCATGCTTGGCTTTTGGCTTCACAACGCACAAACAAACAAACAAGAAATATCAGCTGGTTCAGTCCCAACCGATGGCCTATAAAAAAATGTGATTACCAAGGTAGAAACATCTCATCATGGGTAAAGCCAATGAGCTCTCTCACAACCTTATTGTTGCAAAACATACTAATGGCACTGGTTACAGAACAATTTCTAAACTATTGAAGGTTCAAGCGAGCACTGTTGAGGCCATAATCCAGAAGTGGAAATGACATCATTTCACCATAAACCAGCAACGACCAGGTGGTCCCCACAAGATCTACAGAAAGACCTGCAGTCAGCAGGCACCATTGTTTCAAAGAAAACCATAAATAATGCAGTCAACCGCCATGCCCTGTATGCATGCTCATCATACAATGCTGAAGAAGCATGTTTAAAGTTTGCTGAACAACATTTAGACAAGCCTGTGAAATACTGGGAGACTATAGTCTTGTCTGAGACCAAAATTGAACCGTTTGGATGCAATAAGTCACCATGTCTGCAGGTCAAAGGGACTGCATTTCACCCTGAAAACACCAAACCAAGAGTGAAGTTTGGAGATGTGAACATCACGGTGTGGTGTGGTTGTAGCAAGCAGCACTGGCAAGCTTCAGATAAAAGGAAGCTAACAAGGAAGGATGGGTGAATGGAAAATGTACCAAGACATTCTTGATTAAGAATCTGCTGCCATCTGCTAGGATGATGATGATGATGAAATGAGGATTGATGTTGCAGCAAGACAATGATCCCAAACACACAGCCAAAGAAACGTAATTTGTTCCAGAGAAAGAAAATAAAGCTGCTAGAACGGCCCGGCCAATCACCTGACCCGAATCTAATTTAAAAAATCAGGATTTGAAGAGTGTTTGTGTGGATGAATGGGCCAAAATCCCACCTTAGCAAAGCATGCGACTAGTTTCTCCATACAGGAGGTTTTTGTTCAGTATTAAATACATTTCAGTAAGCGCGTTCAACACTTTTTCCCGGTGCTGACATCTGGTGAGAATTTCACGTCAGTAGCACCTTTAGAGATATATTTACTTAGAAAATTGGAGGAGTTTTCAACACTTATTTTTGCCTCTGCATTTCTAGTTTCAAGAGTCATAGAGGCCAGTTTAACATTACCAAACTGTTGAAAACTGTGACCTTGTTTGCTTTGCTTCTTTTAGCGCAGACTCATTATTCCTCTCAGATGAATCTTCTTTTTATCGCTCAGGTCATTCAGTCAAGTAAAGATAAGAAAAGATGCTTTATTTATCCCCAAAGCTAGAAAATTACTGTTACATCACCTAAAACGTTAACCGTAGAACAGCTCGAAGTAAAGTAGAATATCTTGCAAGAAAAGCAAAAACCAAAACAATATAATATGATAAAGAAAAAGGGCAAAACTTGCAGAAAAGAAGGAGCACAAAAATCGTATTTTCTGGTCAAATATGTGTAGCTCTAAAATACCTCTTCTCATTATATTTAAATATCAAGAAGCTCGTCAATGCGACTGCAAGCCCTACATTATTCTCCTCCCTCTGACAGCATGGTGTTATCCTTGTGATTTTAGCTGAGCGAAGGTCAGCTGCTGCCTTCGCCGCAGGAACTGATGGGGAAGATTCTTATTAAAAACAAGAAGAAACATCACCATCACCGACCCTCTGAGAGTGGCAGCATACGGCGCAAAGAGCCAGGGGAGCAGTCTTCGCCTCACAACGGTAAAGTGCAGGCAACCACCTGTTCTCCCCTGCTGGGATAATAACATCAACTTAGCCTTTGTAATGTGGTAAAAGATTGTAACTGAAACCGAAGTTGATGTAGACGATCAAAAGAATTCCTGTTAAGCTGATAGTTTGCTGTTTCGTGTGTAGACTGCCCTCTGACAGAAGAGGGAAGCCAACTCCTGTCCAATGGAGAGGAAAAGCTGGCTGAAAGGATGGTGAAAGACTCCGAGCCTCGGAAGTCCATTGGTGGGTTGAAGAAACAAAGGATCCCAGCACATTGTAGAAGTTGTCTTATGTAAAGTTACTTTTTTTAATCACACCCTACCAGGAGGTGAAGGAGAAAGCGAGGAGGAGGAGGAGGACGAGTCGGTGGCAGAGCTGAAAAAGCCAAACTCCGACGAGGTAGGTGCCAGCAAGAGGACTGATGGATTGTTTGACTGGTTGGTATTAGGCTGCTTTACGGATTAGTGGTATCTGCCTCCCGCAGGGTACTGCCAGCAGCGAGGCGAACGCCACGGAGGAGATGTCAAATCTCGTCAACTACATTGAACCCGTCAAATTTAAGACCTTTGACTGGGCAGCTAGTAAGTGTGTGTGTGAGTGCGTGTGCGTGCTTAACGGAAAAGGAAGGATGCATTCACTTTATCAGGCAAAAACTGCAAGTGAGAGGAGCAGCCGTGTTTATGGTGTAGCTCATTAGCCAAACAGACTCACTCACAGGTAGCATCATCTTGTCACAGGTTATTCTGAATTGTTTTTTCCCCCTTTGCTTCTCATTTCTTTCAACAGAGAGGAAGAGGTTCTTTGAGATGTCATCGTTTGTTGAAACCAAAGGCATGGATGCCCTGAAGAGCTTCCCTATAGAGTTTGTTGAGTATCCTTGCAAGCTTAAGTTTAAAAGTGGTAAAAAGTATTTGGCCAAGGTTTAAAAAGTACAATTTATGGTGTCATGAGAATTTACTTGCTGAATTATTATTTACTGGGTGTACTGACTTTCTCAAATCTTAGGAATAAAGATTAAACGCACAAAAACCGCTGGTAGGCATACTTTTCTGTCTGTGTAGTTAGGTGGGCTAGCTTTTCTCCTTCATTTCTAATCTTCGTGCTTCAAGTTAACCGCCCATCAGCCGTAGCCTCAGTTTTAGCGGACATTGAAAGTAGTATCAGTTTTCTCATCTGACTGTAGAAAATCAACCGAACAACTGTGTTTCTCTAAATATCAGCTGCGCTGTCAGTCCTTCTCAACAGTTTTTGACATTATTGATGGAGGAAAATGTCTCATCTGGTTTTGATCTCGACCTTAGGCCAAACACCAGTGACTCTTTTTTTTTTCTGGTGCAGTTTACAGTGTGTAATAAATAAATAGTCTCTGCACATTTGCAACACTCTACCTCTGTATACAGTGTTAATCCTTAGCAGGACTCCTCCAGGTACAATAAGAACCAGCTGAGCCGAATCTATCCTAAAGGAACGAGAGTAGACAGCTCCAACTACATGCCTCAGCTTTTCTGGAACGTCGGATGCCAGATGGTGGCGCTAAACTTCCAGACACTTGGTAAGTTGTGTTACTTTTAGTCTTGGACATAAAGAAACTGGATGTGTTTAAAAGTTAAGCCTAAACTGTAAGACAGCAAACCCTTTGCATTCACATCATGGAACAAATTGGGACTAACTTGGAACACCAAAAAGACTCAAGTATTCAAACCCTAACCCAAAAAATATTGATAATGTCCTATAACTTCCAGCTATCCTCATTCTACATGGAGCTACTTTTATACAGGGTGGGCCATTTATATGGATACACCGTAATAAAATGGGAATGGGGCAAACTCCTCAAGATGGGTGGGGACCATGGTGGCCATTTTGAAGTTGGCCACCTTGGATACAACTTTTGTTTTTTCAATAGGAAGAAGGCCATGTGACACATCAAACCTATTGGTAATGTCACAAGAAAAACAATGGTGTGCTTGGTTTCAACGTAACTTTATTCTTTCATGAGTTATTTACAAGTTTCTGACCACTTATAAAATGTGTTCAATGTGCTGCCCATTGTGTTGGATTGTCAATGCAACCCTCTTCTCCCACTCTTCACACACTGATAGCAACTCCGCGGGAGAAATGCCAGCACAGGCATCCAGTATCCGTAGTTTCAGGTGCTGCACATCTCGTATCTTCACACCATAGACGACCCTTCAGATGACCCAAAAGATAAAAGTCTAAGGGGGTCAGATCGGGAGACCTTGGGGGCCATTCAACTGACCCACGACGATCAATCCACTTTCCAGGAAACTGTTCATCTAGGAATGCTCGGACCTGGCACCCATAATGTGGTGGTGCACCATCTTGCTGGAAAAACTCAGGGAACGTGCCAGCTTCAGTGCATAAAGAGGGAAACACATCATCATGTAGCAATTTCAAATATCCACTAGAATGGACCCACTATCGTTGTACCCTGTATACCACACCAAACCATCACTTTTGTTGTTCCAACAGTCTTGGAGGGATCCATCCAATGTGGGTCAGTGTCAGACCAATAGCGGTGGTTTTGTTCGTTAACTTCACCATTCACATAAAAGTTTGCCTCATCACTGAACAAAATCTTCTGCGTGAACTGAGGTTCCTGTTCCAATTTTTGTTTTGCCCATTCTGCAAATTCTGTGCACCGATCTGGGTCATCCTCGTTGAGATGCTGCAGTAGCTGGAGTTTGTAAGGGTGCCATTTGTGAGTAGCTAATATCCGCCAAAGGGATGTTCGACTAATGCCACTCTCCAGTGACATGCGGCGAGTGCTACGCTGTGGGCTCTTGCTGAATGAAGCTAGGACAGCTACTG